ACCCCCGCGGCAGCAAAACCCGACACAAGGCTGAAGCACACGGGCAGGTCCCGGTGGCACGCAGGGACCTCTCCACAAAGCCGGGCACATGGGCACTCACGACCCAGCTGGCTGAGGCTGGCCATGGCCCGCAGGATCGGGGCGCCCTGCTGGGGCACTGTCTGTCCTTCCCGTAGGAAGAAAAGACCTTTTATTTTTTAGCTCCTATTGGGTATACGCACTTGCCAAGAGAGCCAGAGACAAAGAGAAAGAAAGCACCCCAGAGGGCCGGCTGCACCCCAGTCCCTTCTCCTCTCTCTTCTCGGGATGTTGGGTGCACACACACACCCACCCAGCGTGATTCTCTAGTGGCCAGGCCCGGGACGCCAAGCAGTCAGCCAGGCCGTGAGACCTAGCCGCCTTTAGCCTCCACACCCCCAGCTGGCCCTTAACTTGTATAGAAGTATATTTGTGATGCAGCCAGAGGCAGAGAGGCCATCAGACCGTGGGTGTCCTTGGTCTCTGACGTTGGCAGGGCACGTGAGCCCTACAGCAACTTTATTAAAAAAGTTAAAGGGGGGCCAGCAGCTGGCGTAAGGCCTATGTCGCTGGACTCCCATGTCCTCGACCACAGTTCACGTCCCGGACCCGGGGGCTTAAACTCACACTGGGTGCGTGTGCATGCATACCCAAGATCCCAAGAGGAGAATGGTGGAGAAGGGATTGTGGCGTGGCCATCCCCCCTCGGGGGTGATTTCTCTCTATCTCTCTGTCTCTCTTTCTGGCAAGTACATGAGTTCTACAGCAAAAACCTTTCCCCTCAAAAAAAAGTTAAAGGGGAGAAAACCTAGCCAAGGGATCCTGGGGTGAGTGGGTGTGGCTGTCCCAGCACCCTCATTTCCGGCCATCTGGCCCCTGGCCTGCGTCGGACATTCAACGTCACCCAGCCCTGAGGCACCAGCCCGAGGTCTGCAACCCTCCCATGAGGACCCAGCTCAAGTTGCAGCGGAGAGGACAGTTGTAAATGGAGACCCGGCCGCCAGATGGCGCTCTCCTCTCCACTGCTATTCCTCTCCCGTCCTCGGCTCCTGAAATTCCCCACTGCACAAACACGTTCTAAAGACAGCCCCTGTGACCCCCAGGGGGCAGGCGCCATCACACTCTCCTAGCAATTAAGGTTCCTTAAATAGTCCCTGAACCGTGGGGCTCCTGCAGAGCAACTCGGCACAGGGGCCAGCAAACACCCTCATCCTCTTGGCGGCTGGGAAGGGGTGTTACCGCCCCACTCTCGGCGGACCCCCTGGAGGACCCCCTGACTCCAAGGCGGCTCTCCCCGCCCATCCGGCCACGCCTCCCCAACGCCTACCACTTTTGTGGGTTTGTTTCGCTTTTTGTTTTTGCAAGGGCGAGGGGTGCCCAGCAGAGGACTGAAGACCAGCACCGATAGAGACCAGACCCCAAACCGCCCGGGACAGCTCCCCCTGGTGAGTCTGGCTGCCACCGCTGAGGTGCCGGCCCAGACGCGAATGCCCCCTGTGCTCCCGACCCCTGTGCGCTAAAGCACGGCTACGCTGCAGCCAGGGAGCCCCCGGCTGGGAGCCCGCGGGTCATTGCGGACCACAGAGAAAGCACAAGGCTGCAGGCCCCGGGTCGCGCACCTGCATGGTGAGCCCCAGCCGCTTGATGCGGTCCTTCCCCTCCTTCGTCCAGGGCCCGGGCTCCTCGTCGTCGCGCCGCAGGAGGTAGCGCCACACCAGGAAGCCGGACTTGCCCTTCTCGGGCCAGTACTTGACGACCTGCGGGAGCGGGATCCTGTCACCACGTTTCCCATGTTTCCGGGGAGAGGTGGCAAGGCAGAGGAGCTGGGCAGAGAAAGCTGGGGGGTGCGGCAGGCAAGGCCCCGCCCACGGAGGCCCCGCCCACGGAGGCCCCGCCCACGGAGGCCCCGCCCGCGGGAGCTTGGTGCTCGGTGCCCACCTTGTAGATGCCGTCGTAGCGGTTGCCCTCGGCCGGGGCGTACTTGCTGTGCTTGCCGCCCTTCATGTTGCGCACCACGCGGACCGGCTTCCCCGAACGCCAGTCCTTGGCCTCTGCGCCCTCCTGGTCGTTGATGGGGGCACTACAGTTGAGAGCCAGGGCCCTGCGGGAGATTCGAGAGTGGGAACGTGTCCCCCAGGGAGCCCTGCACCAGCCCTGCGCCCGGCAGGGGCCGGTGGCCTTCCCTGGACAGAGGCGCTGTGCAGACAGGGCCAGGCTGCCATGAGGGCCGCCTGCATTCGGGCCTAACCCTCCATCCAGCTCTCAGGGAAGGAGACGGACAGAGACAGACAGAGAGGGGAAGGGTCCAGGGAGAGAGCAGAGGGTGGGAACAGAAGGCCGGGAGATGCCAGTCAACGCCACCTGCAGACACCTTGAGTGTACACTGGCCTCCCGGGCTGCTGGTCAGTTTCTGTCATGGGTGGCTTGTTTTTTAAAGAATTATTTTAAGTTTATTTATTTATTTTGAATTTGACCAGAGAGGGGCAGAGTGAGAGAGGAAGAGTGAGAAAGCCAGCCACCAGGTCCAGGACTCAAACCTCGGTTGGCCATGTGGGAGTCCGACACCCTTAACCACGCTACTTGCCGGCCCCATGGTTTTTTATTTTCTTAATTTGCCAGAGGCCATGTGAGCTCACCAGAGAGGGGTGGGGGAGGAGGGAGAGAAAGCCTTTGCTCGTGGGGTGTGGTCACCTTTGCTCGTGGGGCACAGTCACGCCCGACCCCTCCCCTCCCTTTCTCCATCCTGCTAGGATTTTTTTTTTTTTTGGAGAGGTTTTTGCTATAGGGTACATGCGCTCACCAGAAAGTCAGACAGAAAGAGAAAAATCACCCCCCACCCCAGGGGGATGGCCACACCGCAATCCCGTCTCCTCCACTCTCCTCTCAGGATCTTGGGCATGCACCCACACGCACCCAGTGTGAGTTTAAGCCACCGGGTCCGGGACTCGAACCGTGGTCAACTACATGGGAATCCAGCAACGTAGCCATTACGCCATCTGCTGGTCCTATCCTGCTAGGATCTAGGGCACACCCAGGCAACCACCGTGTTCCTCAAAGCACTATGGCAGAGTCTCAAACTGCAGTCAACCGGGTGGGATCAGCTCCGTTAACCAGCCCTCCCTGAGCCTTTCCGAGACCGCCCACACCTGGCCCGGCATGGGAACGCCTGCTCTAATGCAGCCGAAGGCCGGTGCTCTGGCCCGCCGCGCTCCTCACGGCCCCCCTCGCTGCACTGCATGGCGAGGACACCCCCACAGACCTGTTGGTGTTGGTGAGTTTCTGATCACAAGACTGTTCGGCAGTCCGCTTGTTGCCGGAGAGGTCTCGGCCCCCGCTACCTGTGTATGTGAAAAAATTCCCATGGTCCTGGAACAGACAACAAGGGCCGAGTGAACGCCCGCACAGGGCGGCCACCATGGAGCCACCCCACGTGCCCCCACCCACGGCAGCGCCAAAGGGGCTCCGACAGGCGCCAGCAGGGCATGAGAACCGAACCCCGGGTGCTGGGGCGGGGAGGGAAGCTGGAGGGCAGTGTGGGAGTTCCGCGGAAAACGGAGGGGCCAGCAGGTGGCATGGTGTTCCAGGTGCCAGACTCCCACATGGCAGACTGCAGTTCAAGTCCCAGGCCCAGAAGCTTGCTCTCTCTCTCTCTCTCTCTCTGTGTCTCTGTCTCTCTCTCTGGTGCACGCACATGCACTGTAACAAATTCAAAAGTAATTGAGAGAGGGCCAGCAGGCACTGTGGTGGGTAAGGTGCCAGCCTCTCATGGTGACTGCAGTTCAAGTCCCAGGCCTGGCAGCTTAAGACCCACGCTAGGTATATGTGTGTGCGTGACCAAAATCCAGAGAAGAGAATGGAGAAGGGGCTGCGGTGTGGCCATCGCCCTGGGGGTGACTTCTCACTGTCCCTCTCACTGTCTCTCTGGGGAACACATACATCCTATGGCAACAAAATTAGTAATAATAAATAAGTTAGTCATTCTTTTTAAAACAGAAAGGGAACTAAGTGAGAGCTGCCAGTGACCAGGAGTCCCGCGCGGGGCCCAGGCCAGAGTGCTGGAAGCCCGCTCTCAGAGACCCAGTGCTCAGGCAGCGCCGGCGCGACAGCGGGGGTCGCAGCCCGAGGCCCGTGGTGCTCGCTGGGAGACACCAGGGACAGATCCGCGGGACCCGTCACGGGAGGGCCCTGGAGCAGACACACCCACAGGGGCAGGAAGCAGAATGGGGTGCGGGCGGGGAGCGCGTGTGTCGGGAAGCAGCTCGGCCGGGAGGAGCAGAGGGTCTGGGGAAGTGGTCAGGAGGGGCGCCCCTGCCC